TTTCAGGTCTGTGTATTTTCAGGCCTGGTTTGACCAAAAGTTGGCATACTTAGCCTAGACACGTGTTCCTGTCAGAAGTTTGTGAATCTCAAGCAGATTTTATGATCATCTATTTTTCATGTGTGCAGGAAAAGCACACATGGCTTCACTCGAATGCACAGGCAGTAGGGAGCTCTTTGCCTACATGCAGTTTTACAGATTTTATACAGCTTTCAGCTAAATCACATATCTCCATGCAAAGTATGCTGCTCTTGGATATCACATGGATTTTTAATGCTCTGAGGGATCCTTTGGGTCTATAAACAACAAGTAGATTACATTCATCTACATCATGACAGACTTTCCCCCCCTCTTTGCTTGTGAGACAAAATATGGCTTTTGTTACTCTCTGGAACTAGTATAGAATCCAAGCACAATTCACGTACAGCTATGAGAAAACCATGCCATATTTTTCATTGTAATTAACTGCTTCAGAGCAAGACTTCTCATGTATAAAGATGAAGAAAGGTCTCAGCTTTGCCTGAAAGACAACTTGCCTTTCAGCAATGTCTCACACTTTGAGTTTTGACTGAAACATTCCAGTGCTTTGGTGACCTGTTGTGCCAAAAAAGCTGTCTTGTGTTACGCTTTGCTTTCAACTGAATTTGCTGGCACATGCCAAGGGACAGAACAAAGTATTGCAATTTATTCTGGAACACTATTTTGTGCTGCTCCACACATGAAATTGATGTCAGGAAAAAAGTGCACAAAGGGCATGGAAAATGTAAATAAATACTGTGATCCTTTTACCTTCAGTTTTAAATAGATGGATTGAAATGCATGGATCCTAAAGATTTATGAATCCCTTTATAGTCCATTCTGGAGTTTTACCATTTCATGCAGCTTGTAGGAGGGAGTGTATTTTTTATAAAAAGTCACGGTTATTCAGCAGTGTTTATTTCTGAAGAGCAACAAAATATCTTCAAGGGAGAAGAAGAAATGAATACCTCTGGTTTATTACCAGGGTTAGACAACTTAAAAGTCTTTTCTCATGACAGACTTACATACTTTGCTCTTATGTGCACGTTTGGAACACTGGACACTTTGCTACCAGCAGTAGAAATCACCTCCATCTCTCAGGACAGAGAGCACTGCGATGGATTCAAAGAGGTGGTGGTGGTGGGGACCTTTACTGTTGTGGAGATTCTTGAGCTTTATTTTTGCAGCCCTTTTCCCAGCATAGTATGGAATGAAAGTTCGGAACTAGGGCCTGCAAGGAGAAAAACTCACAGCAGCTATTCACAGATATCATTTCTGTGTGACATCAGTTTCTTGGCCATGGGAAGAATTTCTTCTGTCTGATGAAATGTAACATCCATTTCTTGTTTTCATTTTTTATCTTTGGGCTCCTTTGCCCAGAGTTGTTCTTAAGACAAAAAGCCTGAAAGGATTATAATGTAAAAGTAAGTGCAGCCTTAGCATACCTTTGGTCTTTCTAGCTACTTTACCTCATTGGAATTGCAGTGATTGCTTTTCTTCCTACCAGGTAATAAATCAGTTTCAATGAAAAAGAAAAACAACTCAGACATAAACCAGAATTTTCAAATGGTCTTTCTCAGTCAACTTTTAGCCTCACCCCCTGTGAAAGTGGAGCTTGCAGAAGTTGCATTCAGCTCACCTCAACTGATTGCACAGTATCTTTCTACCTAGATACAATTCCTGCAAGCCACCAAGGGAAGTTTGTAGTTTAACTGAGCAAATCCCAAGCAGTCTGACGCATCCCTCCTGTCTCTGCTTGGCAAGGCTGCCAACAGAGGCACCTGAACTGTGTCTGTCTGTAGAGCAGAGAGCCCAGCCACAGACAGATGCAGCACTGCTCATCATAGGAGCCATTTCTGGCTTGTCTCCAGCAGAGAGTCTTGAGGACAGGTGGATGGTGCTTCTCAGGGATAAGAAGGAGTCTCTCTGTGGTTAATAGCTCCTGATAGAATTTATTTCCATGAGTTTCCCACAAACCACATGAACATATGGCAGCCAGGAGGACCTGTGGTCATGAGCTTCACAAACAGTGTGAGAAGATAACTTTCCTAAACACAGCACCTGCTAACATCATTCGATACTCCTACTTCATGCATTATGAAACAATAAACAATCATTTTGTATTCAGCACCTTGTGCCAGCCCTTATCTGTAAGCCCTGCTCCGTGTCTCCTGATATATAGTTAAATTATTCTAACAGATAACATCCTGCCCTTGCTTTCCTTTTGAGCAGGGATGGAGATCTGGCACCCGTGCCCCCACTCCTGAGAGGCATCGATGGGCAGTGTCTGACCACTGCATGGACTGCCAGCAGGAGTGTCCCTTGCACAGTCCTGAGAGTGTCCCTGCTCTCCCCAGCACGTGGCATGGGTACAGTGTGTGCCATGTTACCTGTTAAACACAAGGCTTTGGGAACTAAAGGGAACTTGTATCCCCAGGCAAATATTGGGATCAGTTCAACTGTTCTGACATGGTATTGTGCCAAAGAGGTGACGAGAGTGGTGGTGTGGTCCTGTGTGCTACTCAGTGAGAGGCTGGTGGACAGCCTTCTGCTGGCCTGTCTCAGGTCAGAGAGGGAAGGGTCACGGGAGCATTGCCAGCTGCCCTTGGGAATGGAGCACCAATGAAAATTAAGTATAACAGAAAAACCACTAAGCCTCTTGAAGGACTTGCATAAGAAGGATTTTCACCTGGCTCAGAAGTCAAAATCCTTAGAAATTTTTGCGTACACGCACACACACTCATACCTACACACATGCATGAAACATAATGCTTTAGATATTATGGGATCAGATTCCACATCTGAGAAGGGAGAGGCCTAGAAGAGCTACAGTTTTGTAAAGCATCGTTTGGTACTTTCCATCTCAGGATCTGAAAGGGATGTTTTGGCAATACTGACATTGTACACAAAGGCTAACAACAACAAGCACAGAGATGGTGTTCTAAGGAAAACCAATATTGGTTCCTCTTAATATATAGCAGCAATACTTAGGTAGAGTTTCTTAGCAAGCCACACTAATCTGCTATCTGATTTGCAAGCTATCACACATGTATTTAATTTCACCTTAAACGAAACAAAACAGCAATACAGTGAAGCATTGTTGAAACCTGAAAACAGTTCACTCCACATAATTAAATTTTAATTCAAAATGTCATTGCTTGTGTATGATATAAACATTTTTTATGATCAGTCAGACAATTTCTAAATAATAGTTACCTTTATTTGAAGGCGTATCAACTCAAAACAGTAAAAAATGCAAATGAAGATTCTTCACTAGCTGAAACATTGATGTCAAATTATATATATAAATGGTAACATAAAAGAAAAAAAAAAATTGTCAAATACATCAAGTAAAGCTCTGGAATAATACAGACCTCCTTGCTGCCTAAACCAGAAAGTTTAATAGCTTCCATTTAAAGAAAGAGGGATTAAAGGCAGAGTGAAGTCCTAAATACTGCTCCAATCTACTCTGAAAATGGTGGCAGAGTAATTTTTCATAGGTGTGACGCATGAACAAAAAGCATCCCAGGTATCTCCTGCCCAACGCATGAAAAGCGGATTTTGCATCTAGCATTGGGAAAACCCGAGCTGAAGGTGAGCTAGATACCCCTGCACTTGTGATATGCACCAAGTTGCTCATTGCTGTGTTTTTCTCTGCTGGTGCTCTGTGTCCTTGCTGACCCCGCTCTGCTCGCAGCCCCTGTGCTGTGGGGTTTCCAGGATCCCACATCCCACGCTGCTGGGAGAAGTGTGACCCTCTGGCACAAGTCCTCTTGCTTCAGTGTCCACCCTCCTGCTGCTGCAGCCCTGCTGGAGGATCTCAGTCCCACATGGGTGAGGGTATGAGGATAGGACTGGCAAAGGCTTTGGCTTCCTATGGAAATGGTACATTCTGCCCAGAATACAGCTTCACCATTTCTTTTTTCTTTACTTCCTAAGACCTGCCACAGCTTTGGTGCAAGGCAATCACTTTGCAGGAGAAATACACAGCAACTATGAGAAGTTCTCTGCAATCCCCTGTCCTGCATCAGCCACTGCCTCACTGCAGGCTGCAGACAGGGCATGGAAGAGTCTGGTGCAAGGACTCCAGGAGACCCCCTGCAGATGATTTATGAGTTAAGACCACTCTGAAATGGTTCTTATTTCCCTCATAGCAGGAAGATGTAAAATCTGCTCAGTGCCAGCTCTGTAAAGCGAGCAGGGCGTGTGGATGTGCAATATGTTGATAACAGACAAGGTGCCAGTAGATGGCTCTCAAGATATGAGGCCTATGGCTTTCACAGGGCTGAGACACCTCCCTGGCTAGGGAGCAATGCTGCTGCTGCATGCCGGGAGCAAAACAGCCACTCAAACTGTGTCTTGGGACAGGACAGCCATGGCACGGAGCTGTGGCATCTTCTCCCCAGACATGTCTAAAAATAGCAAAGTTCTGAGCTTTGTTATGTTTGATAATTTAAGGCAAAAATGCACTCCTCACTAAAGCACGCTTGAAATCTCCCTTTAATTCTTTAAGTGAGATTTAAGGGCTGTTTAAGTAGGCTGGGAAAAGCTGAGATAATGCTTCTGCAGTACCCCTGTTAGTGTGCAGGAAGAGGTACTGCCAGTCCCAGCAGGGTTATGTAGTTAATAAGACAGATTTTCTTAACTAAACAGTTGAGCTATGTCTATTTAGAGTTGATTTTCTCAAGCATACATGAACTAACACCCCTAAGGGGAGGGGGTCCAGGAGGGATGCTCACAGTTAGAAATTCTACAGAGAATTGAAATGAATTTTTAGTACTGTGTAACTACAGTAGATAACATTTAATTGGGAGAAGAGAAGAGAAGAGAAGAGAAGAGAAGAGAAGAGAAGAGAAGAGAAGAGAAGAGAAGAGAAGAGAAGAGAAGAGAAGAGAAGAGAAGAGAAGAGAAGAGAAGAGAAGAGAAGAGAAGAGAAGAGAAGAGAAGAGAAGAGAAGAGAAGAGAGAGAAGAGAAAAGAGGAAGAGAACTCTTATTCTCTTTAATGAGTGATTTATATCCCAAGTCTAAATTTTGTGAATTGAGTAAATATAGAGAAAACAAAGCAAGCAAATTCTTATAGCCATTTAGTCACTCTTAGAACATGGAAGAGAGTCTGTACACAGCAACTTTATTCAGACAACTGGCCATTTACTGAATGGCCACTAGAAATTCTACTGAAAATGTTATTAAATTTTAAATTAAATTTGGTTTTATTGTTATTTTAAATGCAGTTTTCCACAAAGCATGTCCTGAGGCCTTTGCCATTCAATTGTGATATATTTTCCTGATCAGTAATCCCAGTCTATATATATTATACTCCTACTTCATCTTAGGGACAGCCAGAGTGATTGCTGACTAAATAATTAACAAAGGGAACACCATCTCTGTATGTCTCTGTAGTTGATAGGTTAGCAAGAAAACAAAACTAACTTTCATAATCTCTTTCCCTATAGATACCTGGCACTTTCCAGGAGCAAAATAGGAAGAAAATGTAATTGCTAAAATCTCACACACTCATTACTAGACTAATAATACTTTTTCTCTCAATATTGCCCCATAAAGGCATCTATAGAAGTGAAGGTGTAGAGCTGCTGTTTCCTGTTATAATAAGAAGGAGAAATGCAGGCTTGTATTTCAAGTATTTCAACCCCATCAAGCAATAGTGTGAGTATGTAGAATATTAGAGTATTATGTAATAAAGTAGAATAAGATAATAACATAATACAGCATTATTAGACACAGTGTGCCCAAACCATTTCCAGCCACAAGAAGAATAAGGGTGAGGGCAGGGGCTTGGTCTGGCACCAGTGAAGGTGAGGGGTCCTGAGTGAGCTGCCTTCCTTCTGTGCTCTCCAGAGGAACAACACTTCCTAATTTCCAGCTCTGCTCCCAAATTTGTGTGTGTTCATGTCTTTCCTCTTGCTTCCTCCTGCTCCAATCCAACCATGGGTCACAGAGGGAAGTTAAGAAAGGAAGGTACCTGGGTAAGTTTTGTCAGGTAAGTTAAGTCTGCTAGAGATACTAGATACTAGAGTACTAGATACTAGATACTAGTACTAGAGTATCAGACTATTTAAAAAATAAAAACCAGGTTGAACTTTCACTGAGAAGTTGGGCTGACTTGAGCTAGGAACAAACTGCTTTACTTTGGTTTTCTGAACCTGAACTTTTTACAGAAGATGAGTGTCATTCAATCTGTGATGTTTTCCAAAGCCTTGCATGGAACTCTGCTCTCAGGTTTGAGAAAGAACTGTTGAACTCAAACTGTGTTAATGTAAGTTACATCACTGAACTGTAGCCTTTCTGGTATTAATAGGGGTACCAGAAGCTGTGTGAGTCATGTAAAAAAGGCTTCCATTCTTATACAAGGTCATAATTTCTCTTTTTCCCCCTCCAGATTTCTCCCATATGAGGAGGTAGAGGCTGGTATTAGCATTGGAAGGAAGTTGGCTGACATTCTGATCCCACGGAAATAAATGTGAGTTAGTTATTTTAGTTAGCCGGGATTTTTTTCCATCAGCTTTCATGACTAATATAGTTAGTCCTTGATTTACATGCTATTATCTCCCTATGAACTTTAGAGAATCTTGTGCTCATTTCTTTTTATTACAGCACTAGAAACTATTAAAGAAAATCTCACCTTGAAGTGTAGAAGACAAGGTGGTGGTGCTGCAAATACAGGCTATCTAATGAATTCATGGCTTCCCCTGCAGAACTGTTCTGGTAGTGGTGATGGGAATTTTTCAAGATAAATTTGATAAAATGAATTTCACTTATTATGCTTCTCCTTTTATGGACCTGTGCCCTGATTCAATCTCCCAGTCTGAACATCTGGTGTGCCTTAAAAAGATTCTTCCACGTGGAGCCTGGTTCCCAATTTCCTGAGCTATTATTTATTACATCGTTTGGGCTTTAAAAGGGATTGCTGAACCAGTGTGGATCATCTAAAAAATAAACTTAATCTAAAACTAATGCAAACTGTACAGCATAGGAGATTTAGAAAAGCTTACTTAGCAGTCAAGTAAAACCCTTTCATTTATCTTGGTACTTCCTGAATCCACCTCTGAACAGATATGGGACCATGAGGAGGAAAAAAAACCCGAGTACTTTCTGAGTGACCAGAAGGTAGAAATTCCTCACACACTTGAAAACAATTGTCTGAGCAATGTCTGGGGATCTGAGAGGCTTGAACTCCCTCACAGCACCCCCGTCTCAGTTTCCAGGTGGCATCAGGAAGTTTCAGCCCTTGTTTTGAGAACAGTGTTTATTACCCACACTTAAACCGAAGCATCTTTTTCAATTTAAATGATGTCTGCCTTAATAGCCTGCTGCCTGAAATGTTCTTTGATACTGAGGCAGAAGCTTTCCAACAGTGCACAATCAAATCTGTGGGGCCTGTTAATGCTGCATGCTGGCAAAACCCCTATTTGGGACGTAGGAAGGTGATTATCACCTCCTAGGCTTTGTCCAAATAGAAAGCTAAAACAATCTGGATTGGATGTGAACACTGCGTACAAAATTCTTTAACATCGCATGTCTCCAGAGTCGAGGTTAGTGCCAATGGCTTCAGCAAATGAAGCAAAATAATCCCAGATCCAAGGCTTTGAGGAGTGAGAAAAGCAGAGCTGTTGGTAGCAGGAGTGCTGCTCTCACACCGTTTGTTAAATATGGTGTGGAAACGTGAACGCGCAGGAGCTCCTGAACCCAGATGGAGGATTTTTAACGTGTTTAACGTGCAGTAACAGAGACTAACTCTGCTCAGGGCCAGGTGACGTACTAGGTGTTGTACAGGAGGCCTTCTGGCACTGTTGGGGATTTTCCACACCTCAAGCAGCAAGTTTTAGTTGGAACTTTTAACTTTTTTTTTCCTGAGAAGAAAGCTTCTCTTTTTTTGTGCGTCAATAATACTTATTTCAAGCACAGACTATTTGTATATAATTCTTGTTTCTCTTCTCTCAGGCTTAACCGTTGTTAAGGGTTTGTGTTGCCATAACAGCACATTTTTATGTGATACTGATGGGGCAGATCCAGTCCAAACCCTCTTCCCAGTCATATTCATTTGTTCTAATGCACAAATGTCATATCTATCATTCAGAGAATGTAAAATGGCCCAGAAGATGTGGGGAATGAGCTCTGGATTGCCTGGTCAGATCCTCTTAACTACTGTTACAAACCCATCTGGGTTATTTTGCTGAATCAAAATTAACTGTTTCCTCGTTTGACCTTCAGGACCACTTTTAACCAACTTGGCACCTTGAAATATAGAGAAAGCAGTTTCTTAAAAGCGCCAGTATGTCTGCACTAGTACCTTTCACTTCAGCACCTAAAAACAGCGTGCCGGCACTTGACTGCAGAGATTTGTTCTGTGCTGGAAAGCAGCCCCAGCACAGACTCAAAAGCCGATGTCTCCCTGCCTCATTGGCAAAGCTGCCCAGGGCAGAGCCGAGCTGCCCACCACGGCTCTCCCGAGGCACACTTGCTGCTTACAGCTGTCCCAAAGAGCTGGGGAGGCCGTGGTGGAGCTGAGCTGGGGAGCACTTCCCAAACCCGAGTTCAAACGCATCTCCCACTGCCCGCCGGGGGAGGAATTGAGCGTGTGGCCTGTCCCTCCCCTGTGCCAGCAGGTCCTGTGGCGAGCACGGCGTGAAGGCCAGCAGGGCGTCAAATGGCTTAGAAGTAAGGTTTCTGGAAATTGTGCAAAATGAAGACAAAATTACAGCGCTGCTGTAGATAGTGACAAAGCATGAAGATACATCAGCATTAAATAAATAGCCAGCTTGGGGTTCTCAATTGCAATTACCACTTACTCTCTGTGTTTGTAATACCTAGGAGACCCATAGCACATTACAGAATTCTGTTAATTACTAAGTGAAGAAGGAGAGGAAAAAACACTGTGACCAAAATGTATATTGTGTATTGATTTGGAGCGCTGTAATTTAAAATTAATAATTTATCATTCCTCTTAACAGGCTACGCCGTATTTTATAAAAAGTAATGAAACCTTTGGAATACAGAGGAAATCACTTCCCACTCTGTCATTTCATCTATTCTGAGAAAGGAGAAGGAGTGGTTTGTCTTCCTCTTGCCACATTTATAAAATATGCAGTTTGGCAAAGAGCAGATTAGCAAGATTACAGACTTCTCTTCGCTGTTACTTATCAGGCAAGAGCGGACAAGATAGTAACTGGTGTGTGATGTTAAGAGAGTCTTCCCAGGCAATACCCTTGGGAAGCAATCACAGGAGCACTCAAAACAGTGACAGTCATTGTGCCACCAGTTTCAGCAGTTCTAACCAGCAAAAGTTGCTTGGTTTATTGAATGATAATGAGATCATCTCCCTATTGCTTGTAAAGCTAAGTCACTCAGATCAAGACTTCCACAAGAAATAGAACACTGCAAGCTATTAATGAAATCACACTTGGTTTACATCTAACTAGAGGAACAACCACAACTAAACTAATTTGTCATGAGAAATGATTTAATCCTGCTGCAGCTGCAATCTTTGTTTTGAGTGCATGTGCCCATTTGGGCTAAATAATTTCCTTCAACAGCACTGTGAAAACTTAAGTAGAAAAAAACTTCATAGTGAGCTTCAAACAAACCCAAGTATTAAGTTCTTATGTGTGCTTTCTTCATAGAGGCATTAATCATTTTCAGTTATTGCTCATTTTTCGTGCAGATAGCTCCTGCTACATGCTCGCTGTTAGATGTGAAAAGCTTCACAGCACGGTGAGGAGGTCAGGTCCCAGCCTCCTTTCCAGTGGAAACAGGGCTTATGGGATTACATTGATTATGAACATGCAGCTCTTCTCTCCCTCATACATTATTTATTTAATTGGCTGCTTTCAGCCAAACTAGAGAAGCACAGATTTCTCCAAAGTAATTAAATTCCTACGAGTTTCATTGAAGCAGACAAATAGGAAAAGGACAGAGACCCTAGACATGCTCTGAACTGAGCTCCTTTTTAATAGACACCAAAGGACCTCAAGAGGAGATTCAACTAATGATACCAACTACAAGTAAAACCCACGTGAAACTTTGACCCTTGTCAAGGGTCTTTAGAGACAAATTAGACATTGTTAGGCACAAATTTGGTGCTGATGAATCTGTGCCCGCTGCCATCGGCTGCTGCATGCACCTTTGGTCTCTATAAAGAAAGATGCAACAGATAGTAAGGCACTCACACCATGTGGGGACACAAAGAAAGAACCTCAATGACAAAACCAAGATGCCTAACCCTGGAGAAAATTAGGAAGCTACCATACAGGCCTCCCTTTCTCCCACTTAATGCATAACTTGTCTTCTAGATTTTACTTTTACATATCTTGTTTCTTGTATCTTTTTTTTTTTTCCTGACCACTTACCCTCTGACACCAGTAAGTTCCTTCCAGGTGATTCAAGATATGTAATAGCCTGGAAAGCACTAGAAGAAAAGCTCATGGCTTCAGAATGAGGTTTCAGGAAGGAAGTCCAAATCATGTGAAGAGGCAGCATCCCAGGATAGCTGAGGTTTTCAGAGAACTGCTACTCTGCCTGCAGTTTGATTTACGTGATGATATGCCCACGTTAACTGTTCTCTTGAGACTTAATTATAAAATTAACATCCCAAATTCTAAAATTTGAACAGGTCTCCAAACAAAACCATTGGAAGTAGCAAAAATGTATATATGTGGCAATCAGCTATTAAGAGCCACAGACACAGGGAATAGCATCTAATTCACTAATCCCCAACAGCTGGAGAAAAATCATTACTTGTAGACAAGCTAAGCCCCAGTGTCCTTTCAGAGCCACATTCACTTCATGCACTCTTTTTGCAGGGATGGGATACAATAGCAGAACTGAGGTAGCTGTTCTGATGGGGCACACACTACAAACTCATGTCTTCATAAGTATAATGTACAGGGTTTGTTTTATTTTTAATTTCTCCTCCCAATTAATTAATATTTCTTTAAAACTCTAATTTTTTTTTAATTGCTGGAAATTCTGTTATACTTAGGATCATTTTGCTTTCTCTTCAGTTTTTTTGTGATTCTCAAAGCATCTCCTTTTCTGGGGAGATAAAGCACACCAAAAGTAACAACTATAAAAATAAAATTCCCAAATCTGACATGTCAAATGTTAAAGCAAGGTTATTTCTATTTATCTAGATGAAAAGAGAATCACCCATTTCATATACAGTAGACACCCCAGGATAAAACCAGAAACTGACTGGCTTATCTTTATGTCAGTCATGGATCATCTTACTGTTGTGCAGAGAATAATGAGAGATAATAAAGGCATTCCCACCCATACTGCCAGATCACTTGTCTTCTGTTTAAGTGCATCCTTAATGATATAACTACCCCAAATCTCACCCCAGAATACAGAGATGGCAAATATCTAAGAATGTCCCTGGTGTTATCCCAGGGCAACGTAGTCTATTTCATTGCCAAATTAATGAAGACCAAACCAGCAAAAAATTCTGGGTGACAAAACAAAGTATGTCTCCTAGCTTTAGATGGGCCACCAAATGATCATTCCTCTGCTCACAAAGTTTGGCTCCTATTACACCTCTGAATTGCTCATTCCTTGAAGACATCTGGTGTAAATTGCTTTCTGAAAAGTAGCCACATCTTTCACAAAGTTATGCAGATACAACAGCTGTTGTATATATGCTCACCCAAAAGCGAGAAGTGGCATTCTGCTTCTTCCCCATCTTGGAACATAAACTCACTTCTTTGCATCTACTGTGCAAGCAGAATTTGATTTTTTTGTTGTTGTTGGATTTGGGGGTTTTTTTTTCTTTGTTTTGTTCTATTTCGTTGGTTTTGTTCTTTTCTTTTTCCTTTCCTGCTGGCTCCATTCCTTCTACGTAAACCTATGTCTGCAAATTACAAATGCTGTGTAGTTAAGTTCTGGCTTTATACCTAGAAAGCGCTTCAAAATCCTGGCTGAGGCTGTGCTGAGTGCTTGGTGGCTGTTTTGGTGGCAGCTGTTTTCTCTGAGTCAGCTGGAAACCAGCTGTTCTTTAGCTACCTTCTCCTTGCTTAGAGGATGCTCACTGGAGGCAATTTCTGGGATTTGTGATTCATTTGCAGGGGATTGCTGGACAGATCCTGCTTTTCCCATATGCTGGAAGGCCACCTCTGCAAACAGCTGTGCCATTTGGAAAGGTGTGACGATGCTCTTGCTTTTGAGAGTTTGATTAATCAATATAATGTGAATTTTGTTCAAAACTGTATGGGTCCAACCTAAATTCCAGTTATCAACAGGAATGTCTCTGCACGCTTCACTGAGCTTTGAGTGAGATTGTGCTAAATACGGCATCTCTATTTTCCCAGCAGATGACGGCTGGAAACAAAATTCATCTGTGTGCAGAGAGATCTGGAAAACAAAATCTATACCAAATTCAAGGAATGAATAAACTATATCTGAGAAAGGTATGTGGTTTGATTCATCTGTCATTTAGACTGGCTTGGTGTCACTATCTCCTGACCTCAGGCAAATGATTCTGGCAGTCAGTCCCCTGAAGAACAGGGTCAAAACAAAGCTCCGGTATCTTGAAATAGCATAACATGAGTTATTGTGATGGAGCTTTTAATAATATACAAGACACATACAATATCCATGTTTGGAGTAAAACAAGGATGGTATTTACTCTCAAATGAAGGGCTGACTTGGATCCTGGTCCTACAATAGTGAATGGCAAAAAAATCCCCAACAAAACAACTCCTCTCATATTTTTCAAACTAAAATTTTCACGGGATTCTTTTTCCTATGAGAGATAGGAAGAGGTATCTTCGCTTTCATTATTTTAAGGCCTGTTTAATAAATCCACATGAATTGTCAGTATATTTATCTGATTTGATTTTATATGATGGGAAAAGGGGAAATAAATGTGTTTAACAGAGAAAACCAAGCAAGCATCTAAAATGATGAGATTTGTCCCAGCATTTGCTGTGATCATTTGATTCTGCATCCCCCTTGCCCCCACTCTTGCATTTCTGTGCCTCTGTTCTTTCTAGGTTTTATCTGACTCTGAGACTCAGCTCCTGTCTCTGGAACACAGATAGCACACCTAGGCTACTGCAGTCTAAGTAATGAAAAATGGCTATTAGTAGGATATTTGTTGCAGGAAGAGAAAATTTTGAAATGTTCTAGCTGCACAGTGACTGCGACAGAATGTCACACACAACACAAATGTATGGCTAGGACAGACAAGCCCCCATGGACCTTTTTCAGTTTTCCCCAGTTTCTTGGGGTTTTTTTTCTGTTTTTTCTTTAAAACCTCATCACAGGAGGCATGCACAAATATAATCATACAAAAAGCTGTCTAAATATTTAGATTAACAGGGGATAAGAGGACATTTTAAACACTTCATTGCAGTAAGAAGCTGAATACAGGAGCCAACACAGATACCATTCCTCATTCCCCTTCAGTTAAGGAGAGGGACAAGTATTAATGTAACCTAAGACAAACACAACACCTACAAAAGCTGGATCGACTCTTCTACCAGGGCACTGCCAATCAGCAATTCCTGATGAAAGATGTTAAATAGGAAAACATTTTGAAGAAGTTTTACATGGTCTTGTGGACACATCTGCCCCTTCCCTGGGCTCAGCCTCCACAATTGAGAAATGGGCTGGTGACCCTCTGCCCTCCCTGGTGTGGCACTTCACAGCACTGCTCCTGGTGAGGAGATGAGGCAAAGGAGGTGGGAGTGGAAGGGAGAGCTTGTTCTTAAGAGAAAAAGATTCTTCCAGTGATAGAAACCCACATGTTACAGATGGGTGCATGCTCAGCTCCTGCCTGCTTTCAGAATGGTTTCTGCTCTTTGACACCTACTCTTTCCCTACATCATCAGCATGGATTGACTCTCTGTAACAGGGATTTATTTTGGAGAAAAAGCAGAAGTTGGAGTCCTTGCAGAGAGCACCAAAACTACTTCTGAATAAATTGCTACTGTGACCACAGTCTGATAGCACACAAACACGGAACTAATGCTGCTCCTGTAGAGGTTACAGGATTTGTCTCGTCTTTGTTGAACCTTAGGCTGCTGTTTCATATTCTAATAGAAATTAAAGAGCTAATTACATACAATTTCGACTACACATGAGGGACACAGGCTCAGCTTCCAGCTGAGCTGGGAAAATTTTAATTGTTTAGTTAGAAAAGCAATCTATTTGGAGATGTGCAAAAGCAACTTCTGATTCTAGGTTAAAAGTCACCAGAGCAATTTATGATCTTACAACTATTAATTTCCTAATTTAGATCAAGGAATAGCAACTGTAAGGAAAAGGCAGTGACTGTGCAGATTAGATCATTAGACCCACAGTCAGCAGAACTAATGTCCATTAACCTAAGTGGCAGCATTAACACCCTTCTTCCTGGCACGGACCCACTGCCTCCCCCTAATCTGCTTTTCTGGAAGAACACCTGGCTACAACAGAGGCAATTCCAGGAAAAAAAAAAACCCAAACAAACTGAGAAGAAAGACAGCATCCATGCCTATTTGGCTATAGGATTTTCCACTGTGGAGTCCACCAGTGATGGGTGCGAGGGGAGTTGTCCCCTCCTTCCCACCAGGCTGCTCAGGACACTAAGGATCCCAAAACCATTTTATTGAGAAATAACTGTGGGAAACTGCAGGGCAGAAGGAAGGAAAAACACTACTTTTCTGGACAGCATCAATGCAACCTGCCTTTTCTCTCCTGCCTGGTCAAGTCACCCAAAAACCTGACAGACAGCTTCCAGCAGAGACTGGCTGTGGTGCCACTGGCAACCACAGAACATTAATACACTGAAGAAAAAAAAAAAAGAAGCAGAGAAAATTCAAAGGCGTTTTATTTTTATCTTGATGAAAAAGTGCCTTCATGTTCCAGTAATGACTGTGAACACACACATTTTAGGGAACTTTTACTAATATTTACTCCTTATCTATTCTCATTTCCCAAAAGCGCCCCTTTCTGGGTCTGCCACCATCATTTCTGTACAGTCCACAGTCAGCAAGGAATGTCATTTAGAAACTGCTAATGTGCAGGATTTAAACAGCATTTATGTGGCTGACAGGTTCTGTCTTACTGAGCAGAAGGGACAAGTAACAAAAACCAACAATAAATTAGAAACTTGCAGCAACAGTGAGATTTAACGAGAACGCATTCACAGAGAGCTGCTGAGGGCAAATTAAATGAACCAGGATGAATTGCCATCTGTTTTGGGCAGTGTCACTTGGCAGTGGCCTAAAGCCAGAAGAGTCTGGTGTTATCTTTGCTGTCTAGGTCACCACCATGCTGCCTAGGACAGGCTCGAGCCACAGATCGAAACAAAATAGACTCCTTCAACTTCCCCTCATGCCAAAGCACCACAAAGCAAATACATTTTGCATAACCCTTGACAAGTTATCTGCCATATTAATCTGGTGATTTGCTCAGTTGAGTCTCCAGATTTATCTGTTCTCTTTTAATTGTGACCATGATTCAGTCATCGCATCCATTTTTGCTGATATCAGTGAAAGTGTACCTCATTTGTTCAGTAATATGCTCATTTTATTAAAAAGATAAGAAAGCAAATATGAAATGAAAGATATTAATAAACATTGGACTGACTTAGTACATCAAACCACCACATGAGTACTCATAACTTAAAAAAAATAATCACGTCAGTCACTGAATTAATGCAACTAGAGATCTGTGCTCTGTTTTCTAGGGTCTACACAAATCTGTTACAAAAAAGACGTACATGGCTTCTGTTTTGAGGCAAAAAATATCAGGTAACTGTTTCAATACCATTCACTAAATAGACTGGCTGATTTATTGGTGGAAAGTGCAAAATTGCAGGTCGAAGAACATAAACCCTCGAATACAGAATAAAGCTCAGTGCCCCCTTCAACTCTTCCACGGTACTGACTGAACTGCCACTGAGCTTCACTGCTAGGGTGAAGATCTGGGTGGTGAGAAGGGTTCTGGGAAGGTCTAGAGCAATGTGTTTTTAGCAGTCTGCAGAAAAGTGCTGGAGGACATGAAGTTAAAGCACTCTGTGTCCCCTCTCCCTGTGAATGACATAGGATCATGCTGCATTTTAGCTGGACTGAGTCCATGGGTTAGTGGTACTGCTCAGACACAGCACTGGTGACTCTGGTCCCTCTGTTCTGTGGTGGGAGAGTAAAGCTGGATCTTTCTATTTTGGGTTTTTTCCTGAGTTCAGGTGCACAGAATACACTTTGGCTAGAGATTTCCATTTCCTACCCATCACAAATAGGGCAGAGACATGAAAATCTTCAGGGTGATGTTCCGTGACCCCTGAGGCCATGTTAAAATCTATCAGCAGCACTAGCAGTGAGCTCTCTTTGGACAGAAACTGCTGGAGTTCTTGACAACACTGCTTAATACGTACTCATAGAGTCCACTGACGTAGAACTGTCAGGGCAATAAAAATAATACTGTCTTCATTCTTTTCAGTTTCCCCAGCACAAGTGTCATCACACCATATTCCTCCTTCTCTCTTAAATAGCAGCAAAGCTGTTCTGTGTGTCAGAGCTTTTGTTTCTTACCAGAGAAAGAAAATTATTGTGTTGGGGTAGTTACTTCCAGTCCTTGTTGCTACAGAGTTAAGGCACTGACGTAGGAAGGGAATGTTGCTACTAGGAGTATTATTTTGCTACTGGGAGCATTATTTTTTTGGCCTCTTCTGGGCTTTCACATGAAAAAGTAAATACGAGGCCTTTACTTGATGCATGTTTTCAAGGGTCATCCATGTGGTACTTTAGATCACATAGATACTGGGGTGAGGGGTGACTCTGCACAGGAAAGTGAATCCACATCTAACTCCAGCATGTTTGGATGTGAGATCTTGATTTTGCCTTTTGTAGATGCAGAAAACAGCCCCTTCAGCCAGCTTTACTGACCTCCAGCTCTAAACCAGCATGTGTCACACTGCCCAAAACCACAAGGCTGGTCAAACCCCAAGATATCAATAAGCAGAGAATTGTACCCTTCCTGCCTTTTGAGCCTCTAGAGAACATTTAAGTTATTTTGGAAACCTTCCTTCATATTCAAACAAAAGTCTGGAAAAATACTTCCTTTAAACAAAAACAGCTTTTCACATAACCCTTAGATTCTTGAGCTCTGTCTAGAAAAACAAGGACCACAGGAGTCTGAAGAAAAGAAAATATGAGAAGTCAGAGCCAGCAACACTAGCATTTTAAATGAGAACATGAATATCTCTGACATGTGGGGATAGTCAAAGAACAGAGAAGGTGAGGACTGTGCTCAAGGCAGACAAGGGCATTGCTGGAAAGGGAGATGGACAAAGAATTTGGCAGAACTCAACTCACAGGCTGCCTCAGCTGAAGCAGATAAAAGTTTCCTTCTTCTTAGAGACCTGATGTTATGGTTTTAAAACTTTTTTTTTTTTTCTTTCCCCTCCAGCCTCCTGCCTATC